AAGATAGCTCACAGCAAGGAAGCGGAGAAACCGGTTTCCCCAACAGCCAGGATATGTTTATCACCCTGGACCTGGAACCAGTAACCCCCGAACTCACCAAAGCGTGCTCCCAGACCCTGAGGGCACACAAGGGACCTCTGGTGAGTGTACCTTTGTAAATATTACACATGGTTTAAAAGCAAGCGTGTTTAATGATTAATTTGCCCTGGCAATCGCGGCCAGTACAGCTACTGGAAAAGTCTGTTAACGTGTATGGGGATGGAGCGGAAATCCTCCAGGGACATCTCCAGAAAGCTCTCCTTCATGTACTCCCAAAGCCTTTGCAAAAGGTTTCTGGGGAGGGCTGCCTTATCCCGTCCGCCATGGTAGGACACTTTACCACGCCAGGCCAGTAGCACGTAGTCTGGAATTATTGCATAACAAAGCATGGCAGCGTATGGTCTGGCATGCAGACAACATCCATTTCTTATCTCTCTTTGTTATTCTCAGGAGAGTGATATCATTCACGGTCACCTGGTTGAAATGGGGTGATTTTATTAAGGGGACATTCAGAGGTGCCGGTTCCTGCTCGGCTGAACAGAAATGTTCCCCGCTGTTAGCCACGCGGTGGTGGGAGGGGTGAAGTGATCATCCCAGAGAATTGGGTGTGTGTGTGTGGGGGGGTAGTTGGGTTTGTGCTGCATGTTAACCCGGAAACTGCAGCCCCTCCTTTTACATTGCAAACCCATTTTAAATGGCCAACCCAATGGGTGCTTGGTATGGGAAATGAGGGCGCTATTGTTTGAAACCATTCCCACGTGTTAAGAAGGTTAAAAAAGCCAAAAGACTGTGGCTTACCATGGCTGCCTGCAAGCCGAAATCTGTTGCCTGGCACTGCGTGAGTGATCTCTCACACCAAACCGGCAGGCCCTCAATATAAGAGGAAAAATGCGACCTTGTAACGAAAGCACATGTGCTGTGTAATGTGAACAGCAAAATTTAACGTGAAAGAGTGTACCCACTGTTCTCTAAAATGTGTCTTTTTTTAACCACCTCTCCCGTCTCCTCCACCAGCAGCAAATGTTTCTCCTTCACAGAGGCTAGTGAAGATTAGAAGGAGAAAACGGCGGACTCGGGATGATATGTTCTCGGAGCTCCAGATGTCCTCCCACGCTGACAGAGCACAGCAGAATTCGTGGAGGCAGTCAATGTCAGAGTGCAAAAAAGCACAATATGAATGAGAGGAGAGGTGGCGGGCTGAAGAGAGCAAGTGGCGGGCTGAAGAGGATAGGTGGCATCAGCTTGCTGACAGAAGGCAAGAGTTGATGCTCCGGCTGCTGGAGCATCAAACTGATATGCTCCAGCGTATGGTTGAGCTGCAGGAAAGGCAGCAGGAGCAGAGACCGCCGCTACAGCCCCTGTGTAACCAATAGCCCTCCTCCCCAAGTTCCATAGCCTCCTCACCCAGATGCCCAAGATAGTGGTGGGGGGGCCTCCGGCCTCCCAGTCACTCCACCCCAGATGATTGCCCAAGCATCAGAAGGCTGGCCTTCAATAAGTGTTAAAGTTTTAAACTGCAGTGTGTCCTTTTCCTTCCCTCCTCTCCCACCCCTCCCGGGCTACCTTGGCAATTATCCCCCTAGTTGTGTGATGAATTAATAAAGAATGCATGAATGTGAAGTAACAATGACTCTGCAAGCGGTGCTCGAAGGGGGGAGGGGAGGGTGGTTAGTTTACAGGGAAGTAGAGTGAACCGGGGTGTGTGTGTGTGGCGGAGGGTTCATCAAGGAGAAACAAACAGAAGTTTCACACCGTAGCCTTGCCATTCACAAAACTGGTTTTCAAAGCTTCTCTGATGCGCACCGCGCCCTGCTGTCTGGCTGCGCGTAATCAGTGGCCCGGCGATTTGCCTCAACCTCCCACCCCGCCATAAATGTCTCCCCCTTACTCTCACAGATATTGTGGAGCGCACAGCAAGCAGCTATAACAATTGGAATATTGGCTTCGCTGAGGTCTATCCGAGTCAGTAAACTGCGCCAGCGCGCTTTTAAACGTCCAAATTCACATTCCACCACCATTCGGCACTTGCTCAGCCTATAGTTGAACATGTCCTGACTACTGTCCAGACTGCCTGTGTACGGCTTCATGAGCCATGGCATTAAGGGGTAGGCTGGGTCCCCAAGGATAACGATAGGCATTTCAACATCCCCAACGGTTATTTTCTGGTCTGGGAAGAAAGTTCCTTCCTCCAGCTTTTGAAACAGACCAGAGTTCCTGAAGACGCGAGCATCATGTACCTTTCCCGGCCATCCCACGTTGATGTTAGTGAAACGTCCCTTGTGATCCACCAGGGCTTGCAGCACCATTGAAAAGTACCCCTTGCGGTTTATGTACTCCGTGGCTTGGTGCTCCGGTGCCAAGATAGGGATATGGGTTCCATCTATCGCCCCACCACAGTTTGGGAATCCCATTGCAGCAAAGCCATCCACTATGACCTGCACGTTTCCCAGAGTCACTACCCTTGATATCAGCAGGTCTTTGATTGCGTTGGCTACTTGGATCACAGCAGCCCCTACAGTAGATTTGCCCACTCCAAATTGATTCCCGACTGACCGGTAGCTGTCTGGCGTTGCAAGCTTCCACAGGGCTATCGCCACTCGCTTCTCAACTGTGAGGGCTGCTCTCATCTTGGTATTCTGGCGCTTCAGGGCAGGGGAAAGCAACTCACAAAGTTCCATGAAAGTGCCCTTACGCATGCGAAAGTTTCGTAGCCACTGGGAATCGTCCCACACCTGCAACACGATGCGGTCCCACCAGTCTGTGCTTGTTTCCCGGGCCCAGAATCGGCGTTCCACGCCATGAACCTGCCCCAGTAACACCATGATTTGCACATTGCTGGGACCTGTACTTTGTGAGAGGTCTATGTCCATGTCAATTTCCTCATCACTGTCGTCACCGCGCTGCAATCGCCTCCTCGCCTGGTTTTGCTTTGGCATGTTCTGGCTCTGCATATACTCCAGGACAATGCGCGTGGTGTTCATAGTGCTCATAATTGCCGCGGTGATCTGAGCGGGCTCCATGATCCCAGCGCTATGGCGTCTGGGCTGAAAACAGGCGCGAAACTATTGTCTGACGGAGGAGGGGCGAGTGACGACATGGCTTACAGGGAATTAAAATCAAGAAAGGTGGCTTTGCATCAGGGAGAAACACAAACAACTGTCACACAGAATGGCCCCCCCAAAGTTTGAACTCAAAACCCTGGGTTTAGCAGGCCGTTGATTTCACGGAGGGAGGGGGAAGCAAATGAACACAGAACAAATCTGGTCCATCTATTTTTTACATCTTAAGCTGGCAGCAGACGGTGCAGCATGACTGATAGCCATCGGCATCTTCTGGTTGCTTGGCAGAAGATGCTGTACTACGACTGCTAGCCATCATCGTCAAGACGGTTCAATAGGACTGCCGGCAGGACTGAGTCTCCAGGAGACAAAAACGTGTCTGCCCAGGTGCCTCTGACCGAACTCACTGAGGAATACGACGACGATGGATACCAGTCGTAATACACCATCTACTGCCAAAAGGCAAGGAGCTGCTGCTGTATAGCAATGCAGCCCCACGTTTGCCAGCACCCAGATAGCCGATGACGGCTACCAGTCATACTGCACCGTCTACTGCCAAAAGGCAATTAGCTGCTGCTGTGTAGCAATGCAGTACCACGTCTACCGGCACCCAGATGACACATGGTGATGGTGAGCTGAGCTGAGTGGGCTCCATGCTTGCCGTGGTATGTTGTCTGCACAGGTAACCCAGGTAAAAAGGCACAAATCGATTGTCTGCCGTTGCTCTGATGGAGGGGGAGGGTCCTGACGACATGTACCCAGAATTGAAGAGATCAGTTTACTCTAAAGATGAGAAATAAAATGCAACCCCCCCCCCATAGTGACAGCTTACAAAAAATAATTAAGAAGGAGTTATTTGTTACATGTTTGTACAGTACTTGCTGCATTGCCTAGGCCCCCTAGACCAGGGGTGGGCAAACTTTTTGGCCTGAGGGCCACATCTGGGTATGGAAATTGTATGGCCCACCATACATGCTCACAAAATTGGGGCTTGGGGTGCAGGAGGAGATGAGGGCTCTGGGGTGGGGTGGGGATGAAGGGTTGGGGGTGCAGGAGGGTGCTCTGGGCTGGGACTGAGGGGCTCAGAGGGCAGGAGGGGAATCAGGGCTAGGACAGGAGGTTGGGGTGCTGGAGGGGGTCAGAGGTGCAGGCTCCGGGTGGCGCTCACCTTAAGCAGCTCCTGGAAGCAGTGGCGTGTCCCTCCTCTGACTCCTATGCTGAGGCGCGGCCAGGCAGCTCTGCATGCTGCCCGTCCACAAGCGCTGCCCCTGCAGCTCCCATTGGCTGCGGTTCCTGGCCAATGGGATCTGCAGAGCCAGCGTTCGGGATGGGGGCAGCATATGGAGCCCCCTGACTGCCCCTACACGTAGGAGCCGGAGGGGGGACATGCTGCTGCTTCCGGGAGCCGTGCAGAGCCACAGCATGCGCAGAGCAGGGCAAGCCCCGGATCCCGCTCCCCGGCAGGAGCTCGAGGGCCGGATTAAAACGTATGAAGGGCCGGATGTGGCTCCCGGGCCGTAGTTTGCCCACCCCTGCCCTAGACGCTACTGCAATACAAATAATTACTAATAAGGCATTACTGGAGTATAAATAATTGTAGTAATGATATTTACTCTCACTTCCCTTTACTCAGGTCAGGGTTAGGTTTGAACTAAAGCCACAAATAACTCCCCAGCTTAAGTCTGTTTAGTTGGAAACCCTGCCTTGTGAAATCTAACTGAGAGCTCTCCTCTCTCAGGGCTTCTCATATATATTTGTGGCCTTGCCATGCCACCAGAAACATGCAAATTGAGGTGACTAAATCCTTTTGCCTTCTTAAGAGCTGTAGTGCTTGGTGGTTGCAATATATAGTACTTTCTGTTTTGCATCTCTAACTTATTTTTGCTAAATTATCATCTACAGGAAAACAGTCTTTATAACCTCGACTTCGATTTGGACTTGATGTCTTGGGATTCAGGCCCTTGGGATGTGACAAGCCATACTTGTATAGGTAATTACGTGCCACATGTTTCAGCTATGACTATCTTAAAAGAGTGACTACTAGGGATATTGACTTCAGTGGTACTGCTTGCTGGAGTAGGCTTTTTTGTATACAGAGATCACTTCATTGATTTTCCTGGGATGGGACATAGCTACTGTTTTGGTCTCCCCTACAAGTCTCAGATTGTTTAGTTGCTGTAGTCTTACTACATTCACTTGTGTGGTTTACTCCAGAAGTTAATGTTTGGAATAGAACAGCATGTTTCTTGCATGAGCTAAACTCCTACTGTTAGAAGTTTGTGCAGTGTGAAAGTCTACTTACCGCTCTCTTGCAGATGAAAACTTGAAGGAAGAGCCTCAGTCGCCAGCCACTTCAATTTGTTCAGTCCCTTCACCATTATCAGACTCTTCAGTGCAGCATGTACCTGTAAGTAGTAAAGTCTTGGTGCCTTATGTTTGTGCAGTTATGTTGCATGAACTGACTTATGGTTCATTGTGACCTGTGTCGGTTGGCCCACCGAGCCGCTAGGGGATGGTGGGGAGCTACTGCCTCACTGGCCGGCCTGAGTCACGCCATCTGTCACTAGGGAATTAGTGGAGGGAGGGGCACAGGCAAGAGTCCCTAGCACGCCCCTCAGCCAGGGGAGCGCCGGCAAGAGTCCCTAGCCGAGGCGGGCTGGCAAGGGTAGGGGAACGCAGGCCCACCCAACTCCACCGATTTCCAGCCCAGGGCCCTGACAGTGGCGGGGCGAGGGTCCTGCCATTGGGTCAGCGGGGGTCCTTCCGCAACACACTGACCAAATAGACTCTCCGCACTGTGCAGTTCTGTCCCTGGGCTCCTTCCTACCCGGTTGCTCGAGCGAGTCCCTCCGGCTCATCCGGGTACTCCGCTGCTGGCAGCTCCAGCTCCCCCTCTGCGTCAGGCTCCTCCAGTTCCTCCGGGTACTTGGCGGTGGGCTGTTCTGGTAGCCCCAGTCCTTCCTCCAGGTCAGGTTTCTCCTGATCCAGGGCCTCCCCAGGCACGGCAGCAGGGTCTGAAGGGAACAGCCAGCCATCTGCGTCTGCCTCCCTCCCTGGCGCTGCCCTGACTGGGTTAAGGGCCCTGCTCTTTGTACTTCCTGTTCCACCCCTCCTCTTCCGGGGGGTGGAGTAAGCTTGGCCTGGCCCTGCCCACTTAGGCTGAGAGAGTGGCTCTTTACCCTCAGGTTCGGAGGGAAGCCACCCTGGCTCCCTAGGTTCATATAGAAAATACAAATGAAAGGAGCAATCTAAGCTTAAATTCTGCTCAATTTCACAATATAAATGAAAGCAATTTGTTATACCTACACCTGAAACACTGACTTTTCTTCTGACATTCTCCTGTATAAAGTGTTTTCTTTCCTTGCCACTGTGGGTGACCCAAACAAACGGGGATATATGTACACAGCATGGGGTGTGGAAGCATGTAGATGTGTCCTATTGTTACACGCACATTCTAGGGCATCCACCTTTATCCAGTTCCTAGGGCTCAAGGTGTAACCCATTTGATTTAGGCACCCCCACCCTTTCCCAGTTCCTAAGGCTCTGGGCGAAAGGCACCTACTCTTACCCAGTTCCTAGGGCTCAGGGCATAATCTTCTGCAGGTTTGCAGGACCTTTTACCAGTGAAAGAGCCTTACACAGTAATATCCTTATCCTCTATTTATTAACAATTACCAAGCAGAATACACACGCTAAGCATACAAAGCTCACCAATCCTGTTCATGCAGGTGGACTTTCCCTGTTGGCCAGGCAAGGTTGGTCTTGTCTGGGTTCTCGTTGCTGCACGTCACTGTCGTGCAGAGGATTCTTAGCAGCTCTGATCTTAGGTTGTATCTTAAGAGGTGAGTTCTTCTTCTTCCAGGTCTTTCCTTCTTCTTATTCTTTTCCCAGCTGGACTCCTTCTTGGACCCGAGTTTATAGTGAAACTCGAGTCCTGCTTAGCTATACTGTAACCAATCATTTCACTAAAATATTACAAAATAACTCTGACAAATCCTAACATATTGTGAAACAATTCTTTAACCAATCATACCCCACCACCTTAGCTGATTTAAATCTTACAAAATTAGTTATGCAAGAGACCGAAACAATCAAAGAACCAGATAGATACCATACACATAAACAGTAGAGAAGTAGGGACCATAAAGGCAAAACAGTAGAAGTATAGATTTTACAATCACAACTGTTGATAAGTGATTCCTTGCCAGACAGAATGCCATCAAGCAAAGTTTTCTTTAAACATCTTAAGAGATTCCTTGCTTATATGGTGATGGTAGGTACTATTAGGAGGGGTGCCGCCTTAACATTTTGATATTACACTGTTTTGATATAATTTAGAAGAAATGTGAGGATGTTACTTTCTGTTTCTTGGCTCATGGCTGCTGCTCTCCTAATATGGCTGCAGCAAAAGGCCTCAGACCTTACACTATGCTGTGCATGTGTACAACTGCCTGTCTTGAAACCAACAGCACTCACTGTAGGCCTGCCCCTCCAACAGCTGCTGCCTCCTTTCTCCCCAGTCCTACAGATGGAAGGAGAGGTGCTCTTGTTTCTAAACTTCATTTAGTTCCACTGTATTTAAGTGCAACACAAAAAGAACTGAACACCATCACCGTTAAGGTAAGTTTGGAGACTTTCGGGGCCACAGACAAAAGTGTTGTCTGTGCCTGATACTCGGGTCTATCCAGTAGCATAATGCTAATGTGGATACACCTCTACCCCGATATAACGCTGTCCCTGGGAGCCAAAAAATCTTACCGTGTTATAGGTGAAACCGTATTATATCGAACTTGCTTTGATCCACTGGAGCGTGCAGCCCCGCCCCGCCGTAGCTCTGCTTTACCGCGTTATAGCCGAATTCATGTTATATCGGGTCGTGTTATATCGGGGTAGAGGTGTAATTACTGAAGGACATTGGTTTTTTTGTGGTTTTTTTTTTTTAAATCATTCAAACTCATGCCCTGCGTGTCCTTGCAATAACTATAATTTATTTTAAAATTAAAAAATCCATATAAATATCACAGCAGATTGTTTTTCCCTCTGTGTACAAACATCCTGAGTCCACATAAAACTCCCTAGCCCATAAACCACCTTCTGGGCATTTGGGGAGGAGAGGGATGAGCCTTCACATTAAAAGCAAAGTTAAACTGAGGGTCTGGCAGACTGAAGGGAATTGAGAGACCTTTATGGAGGACTCCTGTCAACTGCTTCCTTTCACTTAATGATGGAGCTGCAGCTTGGGTGCCTCTGCTGATTGCAACTGTACCAGCATGACATGAGGAGAAAGGCAGTCTCCCAAGTAATTAGGCCTCAAATCATTAAGGCCTGGTCTACACTGGGTTGGGGTGGCGGGGGGATCGATCTAAATAAAAAAATAAATTAATGGAGATATCTATCTCCTAGAACTGGAAGGGACCTTGAAAGGTCATTGAGTCCAGCCCCCTGCCTTCACTAGCAGGACCAAGTACTGATTTTGCCCCAGATCCCTAAGTGGCCCCCTCAAGGATTGAACTCACAACCCTGGGTTTATCAGGCTAATGCTCAAACCACTGAGCTATCCCTCCTACCCCTAAGTTACGCAGCTTCAGCTACATGAATAACGTAGCGGAAGTCGACGTACTTAGATCTACTCACTGTGGTGTCTTCACTGCGGTGAGTCGACTGCTGCCACTCCCCCGTCGACTCCACTGCCACGAGAGGCGCAGGCAGAGTACAGGAGTCGACAGTAGAGCACTCGGGGTCAATTTATTGTGTCTAGACTAGACGCAATAAATTGACCCCCACTGGATCGATCGCTGCCTGCTGATCCGGTGGGTAGTATAGACATACCCTTAGGGCTTTCAAGATTACAAGCAACTGTCTGAATTCCATCCAGGAACTTACAAGCAGTCAGTGCAACACAGGGGAAAGGTAGTGGATAAAGTGGTCTTTGAGGTAGCTAGGTCCTAATCCTTTAAACAAGTGTGTACCATAAGGCTAGGACGATGAGCTGTGCATTGAAGTGTTTGGGCACCTATGGCATCTGAAGAGCATCAATGTGAATTATTTGCTTTGCTGCCAATGAGTAAGGCTGCGAATCTGTTATGGAAGTCACAGATTCTGTGACCTCCGTGACTTCTGCAGTGGCTGGTGTGGCTGACCCCAGGGCCAGCCACACCGTTTGCTTCTGGGGCAGCCCCGGGCCAACCCCCCGCTTGGCCCCCCAAGCTGCAGTAGCTGTGATCCAGGGACACCTCCTTCCTCCCCCAGCTGTAGTAGCATCACCCCAGAGGCCCCCCTCCAGAGCAACGGTGCCTCCGGAGTCCCCAGAACACCTAAGATTTAGTCCGGGGTATTTATAGTAGAAGTCATGGACAGGTCAGGAGCTGCAAATTTTTGTTTAATGTCTGTGACCTATCCATGACTTTTACTAAAAATACCCATGACTAAATCTTAGCCATACCAATGAGGCATGCTGGCTGCATGCTGTGCCAGTATGTGCCTCATTTGAGAGGTTGGAGGATGTTAAGAGAATAATTTTTTGTTTTGTTTTGTCTTTTTTAAAGCAGCTATTCATTGTGATTTGGTTTCTTCGGTAATGAGAAACAGCTTTTCAGATCAACTTAGTTCAGGCCCAGCTTGAATGACTCTTTGTTTCAATTATCAGTTGGATATTATTCGTATTCTATAGGGAGACTAAATCCTGTGTTAACAAGGAGATGGACGGACGCACTGATCTTTTGATCTCTAGATTCTATCATTCTGACTCCTGTGTTCTGCTCTCTCTACATGGGCGCTCTGTACTTTGGAGAGCTGTATAGGGCCTGCTCCCATTGAAGTCACAGGGGCCCACAGGGAAATCTGTACTTGGGAGTACTACCTACATATGGTCCAGTGGCCTTGGACTTGGACTCAGGAGACCTGGGTTCTGTTCCTGGTCACTGAGATGCTTGGTGACTTGGGCAAGTCTCTTCATCACTCTCTCATCCATCATCTGTCTTAGCCTTCAGAATCCTCAGGTATATCTCATGTATATATAGAACCCCTAGCATAATGGGGCTAGATCTTGATTGGGGCCTTTGCACACTACTGGAGTACAAATAATTAATAGAGGAAGAGTGGAATATTAGATTTGTGGTCAGTAGCACAGATCTGAAAGCAGAATCCGGACAGCATTTGAGTGCTTTTGTAAGCACATTCTTCTGTTCTGAGAAGGATTTGTCATTTGTTTTATATATTCTTTGTCAACAGGAAGACTTGGACTTCAGCACCAGCTCCGAGATGTCTCCTCTCTCTCTGTACAGCAAGAAATCTGGAAGTCAGAAAGATAAAAAGCTCACTTCCAGTGCTGCACACCAGCCTGGTAAGAGTGATCTGCTTATTTTGACCACACAGTTGGTACATGTATCATTGCCTGTTGTATTAATTTAAATGGAATATATGAGGTAAAGGTGTTAACATAACCAAGTCACTGTCCAATATTAAACAGTGTTAAACAAGGTTCAGGGTTCAGAGTAATTCTGGATAGTTTTCTGAAAACATCTGCTCAGTGTGCAACAACCATAAAAAAAAGCTAACAATGTTAGGAACCATTAGGAAAGGATAGATAATAAGACAGAAAATATCATAATACACTATATAAATCCCAGGTACATCCACACCTTGAATATTGCGTGCAGTTCTGGTCACCCCATCTCAAAAAGGATATATGAGAATTCGAAAAAGTATAGAGGAGGGCAGCAAAAATGAATAGAACTATGGAACAGCATCCATCTGAGGAGAGACTAAAAAGAGTGGGACTGTTCAGCTTAGAAAAGAGATGTCCAAGCGAGATATGATAGAGGTCTATAAAATCATGAATGGTGTGGTGAAAGTGAATAAGGAAGTGCTATTTATCCCATCACATAACACAAGAACCAGGGGACACCTGATGAAATTAATAGGCAGCAGGTTTAAAACATAGTGAAATACTTCTTCACACAAGCAGAGTCAACCTGTGGAACTAATTGCCAGAGGATGTTGTGAAGGTCAAAAGTGTGGGTTCAAAAAAGATTGAGAGAAGTTCATGGAGGATAGATCCGTCAATGGCTATTACCCAAGATGATCAGGGACATGCTCTGTGTGTCTCTAAATCTTTGACTGCCAGATGCTGGAACTGGACGGCAGGGGATGGATCACTTAATAGATTGTTGTGTTCTATTTGCTCCCTCTGAAGCATCTAGCAATGTCCATTGTCGGAATATTGTTCTGGCCTAGTGTGGCTATGCTTATGTATACAGAGAGCTCACCATGCTTAGTACAGTAGCAAACACACCATTTAAAATCTTTTTGACCTTTTATTAAAGATAAAGAAAAGAAGAAAAAACAGTTAAAGCATTTGAAATGTAAAGTATTAAGTAAGGCTTTTGTTTTAATATCTCTTGCTCTTTTTCCCTTTAGCTGGAGAGAGCTTTAGAAGGAAAAAAAATCTTGTTGGACAGTCTCTTAGATGGGATCAGGGCCAGCTCTAGGTTTTTTGCCGCTCCAAGCAAAAAAAAATTTGGCTGCCCCCCAGCCCTGGGCTCTCCCCACCACCACCAGTGCCCTCCCTCACCCCCTGCTGCCCCAGCCCTGGGCTCTCTCTTCCCCCACCCCACCCGCACCTCCTGCCGCCCCAGCCCTGGGCTCCCCCGCCCCCAAAGTGACCTCCTCGTTCACCACAGCAATCCCGTTTACACTTGCAGTGGGGATCAAACCGTTTCTCCTATTTTTATTTCACTTTAGTATAAATCTCACCCCTCCATCCCCCGCAACCCCATCTTTAGTGCTCCAAATGCACATGGAAAACATAGGGACTAACCCTCAAACCTTGTACCTGGAAAGTGATGGGGATCTAGTAAAGAGGGTTCAGGCAGAGGAGCGGGTGTGGGGGTGCTTGGGGGCTCTACACTGGCAGAGAAGCGGGGTGTGATGTGCTTGCGGAGGAGGGTGGAGGAGGAGAGGGGGTATCAGGGTTGCGGGAGAAGAGGTGCAGGGGAAGGGGGAGGTGTGGGAGGAGAGGGCTGGGGGAGGGTACAAGGGGAGAGGTGCGGGTGAAGGGAGAGTACAAGGGGAAGGGGTGTGGCGAAGGAACGATGGGGGGAGGTACAAGTGGGGCTGCGAGTGGGATGGGGGGGGTGCAAGGGCTGAGAGGGGCAGGCGCTGACAGCTGCTTCCCCAGCCCCGTGCAGGCAGAGTCGAGAGGACAGACACTGACCCCCCAGGTGCCCGAGCCGCGGGGGTCCCCTGGCACTCGGAGCCGGGTTCTGCCTCTCCCCACCCAGGGCAGGCAGCGCGGGGCTGAGGCGAGGGAGGTGCGCAGTGGGCTGGCTCCGGGGGCAGGAGGGGGTGGTTTGGTCTGCCCAGCCACTCGCCCTGTCAGCGCGCGAGCCGGGATCCACGCCCCCTGACCAGCCCAGCAGCGCCCTGCACAGCCCACTCGAGCGGGGAAACGCCGCGCCGCCCTGGGGAGACTCAGAGCAGAGCAGCAGCGGCAGCAGGACCCCTCCCTGCATCCCGGGCCCCACTTCCCTCCCTCCCCGGCTCCTCACACACAGGCTGGACTGCAGTCAGGGCCGGCTCCAGCTTTTTTGCCGCCCCAAGTGGCGAAGTGAAAGAAAAAAAAAAAAAGATAAAGCTGATCGTTGGTACTTCGGCGGCTGCTCAATCATGCCACTTTATGCTTCTGTGGCAATTTGACGGTGCAGGTCCTTCGCTCCCTCTCTTCCTCTTCGGCGGCACTTCGGCAGCAGCTCAAAGAAGAAGAGAGGGACTGAGGGACCCGCCGCCGAATTGCCGCCGAAGACCTGGACGTGCTGCCCCTTTCCATTGGCCACCCCAAGCACCTGCTTCCTTCGCTGGTGCCTGGAGCCAGCCCTGACTGCAGTTCAG